ATTCAATTTAAATTATACAGTTATGCATACATTTCGTTTCGCATTTGTGCCAATAGTTTAACAGATTGGTTGACCTTAATGCTCACTATATAGGTCGCGGTCAGGTCAGTCGAACTACTGCTAAAACCTTGAACCGACTTCGGAAAAAGGTGGATGTACTTCAGATGTGGATTTCGGTTTTTTTTTGTTGCATCGCAACTTGTCTTTTATGAACTGAATTAGTTTTTTTTATTTGGAAGTTTTTTTATGGACGATTGGGCAAACGAGCAGACGTGTCACCTCATGGAAATTGACCACCGCCGCCCGTAAACGCCTTCAACTCAGGATGACTCCTGAGTTGAAGGCGTTCAAGCGCGTTGCCTGCCTTAGAAAAAGGTGTATACTTTAGGTTAAAATTGTAAAAGAAAAGGAATGGAGAATATTGTTTACTAGCATTTGCCCACAGCGACACCCGCGTGTATGTCGGTTATTGCAGTAGTCGGTTATCGAAGTAAAAAGTAGCCTATATCCTTTCTCAAGAATCAAACCATCACCACACCAATTTTCATCTGAAGCGGTTCAGCGGCTATTGATTCCCCATACAAACTTCCACCCCCCGTTTCAGGGCCCTGAAAGGATGATTTCTGGAATAAAAACTATCCTATGTCCTTTCCCGGGACTCAAACTATCTCTGTACCAAATTTCATTTAAGTCGGTGCAGCGGTTTAAGCGTGAAGTGGTAACAGACACATTTTTGCGTTTATAAGATTAGTAAGGCTTTATTCGTTGGCGTTACGTAGCGATGTAGCTTTACTCTGCATTCTCTATCGCATATATCATGGAGAGTGCTCCGAAGAATTGTTCGGACTAATACCAGCCGCAAATTTCCGCCATCGTTCCACACGTCAAAATTTTCATCATTATTACCTGGATAGTTGGCGCTCCACTACTGTGCGCTTTTCGAGACAATTTTTGCCCCGCACAACCAATCTGTATGACGGGTTATCGTCTGCGGTATTTCCGGACCGATACGACCTTCAAGAAAAGAGCGTACTCCTTCCTAAAAGGCCGGCAACGGGTTTGTGACTCCTGAGTTGCAGACGTTCATGGGCGGCGATGGTCACTTTCCACCAGGTGACCCATCTGCTCGTCTGCCCCCTCTTAACATTAAAAAATAAAAATGATATGGACGCATTAACTTCGGTGTAACTTCTTTAAAACCGGTTTATAATGTTACCGTATTCGAACCGACATAAAACTGAAATAGTTTTACTTCAATGCGAATTACGATAATTTAAAAGTCTCTTATATTGAAAAGTAAATTATTTTCGTTTAAATATAAAATATTTGACCTGACTGACTGATTCAGCAGCAATGCAGAGCCAAAACCGCTGAGGCTAAAAACTTGAAATTTTGGCAGCCGATGCTTTTTATGTTATAAGCACTATATAAGAAAGGATTTTCAGAAATTTCCCTCCTTAGGGGGGTATAGTAAGGGATGAACGGTTGTATGGAAATTTGTCATTATCAAAGTTAAAAACACGAAATAAGAAGTAAACACGTGAGCGAAGACGCTGGCAATAGCTAGTCACACAACAAATATACTACTGTCATAATATATTTTTCTTTTAGCATAAATATGATATTTGTATTCTTATTACTTATGATATTTTGTGACTAAAACCAATACATGAGTATATTACTTACATACGTCACAGTCTCGAATTGCAATAGGGTTCAACAAATTTGGGGTCCCTACCCCTCGTCGTGGAGTTTTTATTATACACTGCATTGTGTTGCCAGTGTTGAAAAAGTAGGGAAGCATACGATGCCCTTGAAATGCGTATCTTTGACGCTAGGGTTAATTTATTAAATAAAAATCTTTATTCATGTTTCCGTTATAAATTTGGAGAAACTGGTTTAATTAAATATACTACTTCCTCGTATATGCCCCAGATTACTTCCTTATTTGGTAAGGTATAATTAAGACAATTTCAGATGCTTACACAGATAGAAAAATTCCCAGAGACTAGTATGGGGACAAAATTTAGTATATAATATAGATATATTGTATATTTTGAGGACATTTGTATTTTTTGATTACAGTCCTCAAACTATTGTTGTATCTAATGTATCGAATGAAATCACTTCTGCCATCTATAAAATTTTATGTCCCCAAACTAAAAAGCAAACCTTTTTGGCCCCAAACTATACGTTGGACGTAAGGATTTATATATATATAAATGTGCATGTTGTCCGTGTGGTGACGGATATAGAATTCGCAGTGTCACCACCCCTATTCATCTCTTGGATGTCGTAAGAGCCAACTAAGGAAGCAAACTACGCAGAACAACAGCACTGCAAAGAGAAGAAAAACTTGACTCAAACCTTGTACCAACCCGTCTGGCCAGCCACGGCTGAAACCTCCTTTCTAAGGAAGGCTAATAGTCCACTGCTGAACATAGCAGTGGACTATTGAAGGTTGATGATGATGATGTATGCATCTACAGTAACTTCTTACAGAAATCGTCAAGATACTTGACGATTTCTGTAAGAAGTTACTGTAGATACAGATTGAGTTATGGTTTCGATTGCCTATGAAAGTCTTTTATTGGTTCTATTTTAACCCTTGACGGAAAACGAGGGGTTGTCATAGGTTTCACCTGTGTATCTCTGTCTGTCTGTGGCATCATAGCTTCCGAACGAATAGACCGATTTCGATGCGGCTTTGTGCGAAAGCCGATGTGATCGAGATGGTTCTTAGTTATAAATTTTTAAGATCATCGACTCACTTTCTAGGTGATGATGGGATACTACAATCCACGGGTATGAATTGTTACTTTGGTTCTCCTTTTTTTTAATATGGGCAGTCACAATTTTGGTAAAATAAAGAAAAATGGAGAGAAAAAAAAACATGCGCAGTTTATGTGAGAGATCTACAGACTTATCGAAGAATTATAATATTATATCATTGAAGTTGTAAATAACGTACGTAGCATAAGCAACTACCAGCCAGACGACCGATATTCTTTATTTAAGAATGATTATTGGCAGCCTTGCTATCATGGCAAGGCTCTGCCTAGTTTGGGATCAGACTGTTGTGTGTGAGATGTCTGATGTTATTTTTATTATCATCATTATTCTTTATCTACTTCTAAACTGTTAATTGATCATCTTCAGATCCAGAACTCCATTTGATAACAATTAATTCATCATTAGACTGGAAATTTCAATTCATTAAAATGACATCTGATGCATTAACTGACCATGCGTTACTCCTAAACCAATGATCATCAAAGGTTCGTTGGTTTTCCCATATTTATAATTATTATATATCTTAAAATATCAATTACTTTTAAAGTGACTAATCAAAGAAACAGAAATATGTATTTAATATCAACTTAATACACCTCACACACGGCTGTTTGATCCCAAAATTCAAACTGCCTCTGTTTGTCTCAAACTAGGCAGAGCCTGTATCATAGTAACCATTCTATTTGTATATTTACACATTGTACATGCTTATAATATACGTTCAAACAATAAATAATAATAGTTTAAAAAAACTAAAAAACACGCTTTTTATAGAAAACCAAACTAAAAAATATAAAATAAATTTGAAAAGAAAGCGTTGGGTGCATGTTGTCAATAGTAAAAAGCAAACCACGCTTTTTTTCTTGTTTTCTTTTAAACTATTTTTTTTTAATATTATTTTATTTTTGGATTAAATTAGTGTATTGTCATCGGTCCTCGATGTATCTACAAAGTTTGAAGGAATTCTGACCGTTTAAAATCACGCCCAAACGAGTCGGTTACAAACAAACATACAGGTGAAGTTAATAAACAGCGTGTAAAAAATCGTGACAAGACAAGAAATGTTGAACGCTAGTGAAACTGCAGAACAGCTAGGTCTTAACCAAAATTACTAGTAGAATAGAGAATACACGTTTGAAATGTTAGAATGAATTGCGTCTAAATAATTGTTCCTATATTTTATTTAAATATTTATAATTCTCTTTCATTCAACAACTGCCAGCACAATTTTACAGTTAATTACCTACTAACCGTCGCCTGCGCAGGTGCCATCTCCCGCTTCGTGGCTCCGACGATATCCGACAAAAAACGATGTGCGCATCGGCTTTAAATTTAAAATAGGACCACTGTCCTGTAAAAAAGTGTTATTTCATCGACTATGCTGTCCTCTCTTTTGCTCCTAGGCTTTTTTATATTTTCGTCTGTGTTATTCAAATATGTTTTTTGAACCATGAAGTTAGTTCTTTAAAACGTTTAGGATCTAGATCTAAATGGCCTGTTTTTTAACCGACTTCAAAAAAGGAGGAGGTTCTCAATTCGACTGTATTTTTTTTTTAATGTTTGTTACCTCATAACTTTCGACTGGGTGAACCGATTTTGATGATTCTTTTTTTATTGGAAAGCTGGTTCTTCCCGTGTGGTCCCATTTCAATTTGGTCTAGTTCTGACCATGGAATCCATGAGAAAACCATTGAAGTCGGTTTTTTTTGTTACAATTTTATTTATATAACCCTATTACAAACATTCCGTGCGGTGACGGATTAAGAATACGGAGTTTCACCACGCCTATTCATCCCGTGGGTGTCGTAAGAGCCGACTAAGGGAGCAAGCTAGGCTGCACAACAACACTGCAAAAGAAAAGGAAACTTGAAACAAACCGTATACCAACCCGTCTGGCCAGCGTGGTATAGTAGGCAAAAAAACCTCCTTGCCAGCAGTGGACTATTAAAGGCTGATGAAATAATGATTTCTTTATTTATTCTGTATAATGCTCTAAGTCTGTGCCGTTTAATTTAAAAGAAAGTATTCCACTGGTAAGGGGTTAAAAATTAAGGGATTAAGAAACCTCCTGCCCAGCAGTAGACTACTATAAGCTGTTAATGATGATGATGACCAACATACATACGTCGTTATTCCTGAAGAGGTGCTTAGGGCGTATTAAGCAATCTCAGTTTGTCAATTATAATATTAGTTTTACTTACGTACAGATGGTAAGCCTATAGTCGTTAAGCGGTCACTTTGAGGGTTAGATAAAAAAATTGAGGGTATGTTGAAAGAAAAAAATAACAACCTGAAACATCTCACACGCGGCTGTCTGATCCCAAACTAGACAGAAGCAGGGGGATTAGTGCGAGATAGTGTAGAGTAGTAGATTGTAATAGAGAGACAGTGAGTATATTTATATTAAAGACTACTGCTGAGACCCGGCGGTGTTACCCGCGTTTGTTGTTATAACAGCGGGCAACGCCGCGGGGCTAAGAAAGTCTAAAAAAAGTAGCCTAAGTTACTCCTTATGTCATCAGCTATCTGCCAGTGAAAGTCACGTCGAAATCGGTCCAGCCGTTCCAGAGATTATCCGGAACAAACAGACAGACAGAAATTGTAAAAAATGTTGTTTTGGCATATGTACCGTGTAAAAATACATAATATGCATTTAGTAAAAAGCGGTTATTTTAATATTAAAAACAGACACTCCAATTTTATTTATTTGTATAGAGTATAGATAAAACCCCGACACAGGTCAAATGATCATGCTCATTACACAATTATTTGTCCCGGGCGTAGAGCCATGGGCCGCCGCCAAGCATTATTACTAGGAGTCGCCCTTAGTGGTGTTATAACACAGGTTCATCCGTACAGGTATACAACCCGGTCCTGCTGTTCATTATATTTTTATAGTTTAAACACGACACGATAAACAAGTATAGTCTAGACGTCCAAAACGACATTTGTTTTAATTACCCAGCGATATACCGATCATGTACTTTTCAAATTAGCAAAAATTAAATTCTAATTCAAGTTAATTAACCATAATATGTACATAGCCTGGTCGTTAAACTTCATTTTATTTAACTGTATTACAATTGGATCGTCTGTTTCTTTCAATAATGAACTATGTTCTTTTGTTGAGGCTACGGGAGCCCAATCCCCTCTCCCTCTTAATGCTACCGCAGGGGACCTTAGCAACGCACTTGTGACTCTTCAGCTTGCAGGTGTCTACGGGCGGTGGTAGTCACTTAATATCAGGTGACCCGTTCTGCTGATATGTAAGTAATTACGTACAGATGTCTCACTCAATGTAGGCAAATAAATATTTGCCTTATACACATTATATATAAGCTACAATTTAACTTAGCGATAATTTCAATGATCTAATAGTGCGCACCCTTATAATAAAAGTAAACAACCATAAAAATCCCATTATAAAGCCTTAGAGAGAAAAAATTCCATGTATGTATTAGAAAGCCAAAGCCTATATAATAATCGGCTGCATCCGTTGATCACTATATTTATTTATGAATCCTGTTTCTCCAATATTTTCTTGCTCACGTCTTTCGGTCCTGAGGACGTCTCAAAGGACGACAAAGCACTTGTCTGTTGAGTAGCAGGTGACAATCAGCGGCAGTGGTCAGCAGGTGACCACATTGCTCGTTTATCGATGTACCAAAAAAAAAATTTGGAGGCTTTTTGGAATGACATAAAAACAGCTATTTATTAAATGCATTTGAATTCACAACGCATAGTAATCTTATCATAAAGCAATTTTAATTATTATTTGTCTGTGAACCCAGACAGACAGACTGACAAAAAACTTCGGCTAATCTTTTTGGAATGGGTGGATCGATTTCTATGGGACTGAAAACGTATTAGGACATAAATATTTGAAAATTGTTATAGCTCAAGTTATTCCCCAATCGAAATGCAACCTTCACCTATGTACATTTAAGTCTAATTTTACATGTCATAAATAATTATAAATCGATGAAAACTTACACAATGTTGCTCTAGTTGACATTTCCACACGGTACGACCGGTTACAATTTGTCATTAGACACGGGTCAGGCAAATTTATGCCTTATCAACGAGATTTTAAAGAGTAACGGTTGAACTGTTCCATATAAATGTTGACATAGTGGCTTACTGTATGTGGTATATTTGTAAGAGAATGGCGGATTAGAAGTTGTAAATTTAAATAAGTCTCAGTCTAGTGTGTTCTTCAAGTCGTTAGGGATTTCCTCAAAATGTTTTACTTTTCTTATAATAATGACGTGCAAGAGATAAATATTATGTTCTTATTGCTGTTGATGAGAATTTTTTAACAGAAACTATTTAGCATGTCCCTTGTACAATAACATATTACAGTGCCACCTAGAAAACGAACGAACGATCTACGGATCAACTACTCTTACTAATCCTGTATCGCGCAATCAAAGTTGTCGCGCCGATTAGTATCAATAGTTTCTTACTTATATTATAATTAATGTGAAACTGAGTTTGTTACTGTATGGTACAGTCAGAACTCTTAGCGGTCAAAAGCATTTTTTACTGGCATTGGGTAATAGTACTTTTGACTGCTGCGTCAGATGCCGTCTATTGTTATTAAATAATTTGGGTTAGGTTGGGTTATTATTGTATCGTCAACACTGACCATTAACGCACCAAATCCTCCCTATTGTTGTGTGCTGTAGTATGATATTGCGGTCAAACCGGTGAGATCAGTCAAAGTGCTTTTACTTTACTGATTTCACCAGTTAAGAGTTTTGACTGTAACGTATACAACTTCCCAACATCAATTGTTAGACCGCAATTCTTCAGCCATGAATAACTGGCCTGGTCAGAGGATTCTCCTTTTGTGTTGACATGTTCCCCCACAGCTATGGCAAAATTTTGGCCATAGGCTTTCGTCACTTGTACCCCAATCAATGTTTTCGAAACAGAAAACTTGTTTTGATATCAAAACTCGATTTGGCGAGCGGTATTTAAAAAATAATTGTTGTCGAAAACCGGCGTCATTTAATTAATTTTTATTGTGTATATGTTTTAAAGTCCTTATCTACTAAATTACTTGTCTTCGGTGGTTAAATTAGAGTGAAGTTTTCGCTTTCACATTGTGGTATGAATAAAATTTGAAATGACTAGCTATGTGAAACTGACTGACTGACTGAACTGAATCTTGAGTTACAGGTGTCCATGGGCAGCGGTAATCGCTTACCCTCCGATACCATAAAAAACAATTAAACGGGTGTATGATAATGATGTAAAACAGGAATTCCCAAACTGTTTTGAGCAAGGGACCCCTTTTTCTAAAATGAACTGATACCTCAAGCCACCGAAGCCAAATTACTGCACGCTTATCGACTTGTTCAGTTTTTTAAAAGTTCAACAATGATGTTTCCTACTAAATTATTAGTCATTATTTTCAAGTTGGTATACGTAACACAACTAATACAGTTCCTCTAAAGTTTCAAGTTAATATAAGAACTTGCGTTAAAACCAGTTTTCGTTTAAATCGACCCCTGGGAAACCGATTTCGACCCCAAGGTGCTGATATCGACCACTTTGGGAATCCCTTATGCAGAAGTACTTATAGATATTAATGACCCTGTTATGATAATAAATTATCAAGTGTTGAACGAATCACTCAACCGTTAAGTACCAGTGCAGTACTTCTAAGAAATTATCAGAGTTGCTATGCGAGTGCAATAAGGAAAATTAGAAAAAAAATAAGTGTACCGTGGTTTACCGATGCGCGCATATTCAACTACCCGCATACAATTAAAAAACTTCTGGCTGTTATCTCTATATTCTTTATTATCTGTATGTGCGTGTGTTGACGGATTAAGAATACAGGGTGTTACCATCCCTATTTATCCCATGTGTATGAGAAGACTAAGGAAGCACAACAGCACTGCAAAAAAAAGGAAAACTTGAAACAAACCCTATAGGAACTCTTCTGGCCAGCGTGGCATAGTAAACCAAAACCTTTCTAAGGAGAGACCTATATCCAGCAGTGGACTACTAAAGGCTTTTGAATGATGATAATGATGAAATATATACTCTAGCTGATGCGCCCAAATTCGTCTGCGTCTCTCAAAAAGACCAAACTTCTTCCCGTTTCTGCAACATTTTCATCGAAGCTCGGCTCCTATTGGTCGTAGCGTGAAGTAACACAGCTTTTCTAGGTATGATAATTTATGTGAATCTAACCAAGTATGTATTTGTCACCAGGTACGAGGAGGCAGCACGGGTGCTCCGCCCCCAGCGGCTCCTGCTATACTAGAGCAAGAGAAAAGGTCTCCATTACAGCCACAGCAGCAGGGAAGAGTGCAGCCAGGTATGTAGATATGAAATCAAAATAATTTATTTCTATTAAAACAATTATAGACATTTCTAATCTTCAGGAGTAGAAGACAATCAGACTAATTCAGTCTTGATGCTAGTTGATTGTGCCAATAAGTATTATAAAAGGGGGAGTAGGGGTCTCGTATAGGCGGGCTCGATTTTGACATTACAAACAGACACTTTAATTTTATTTATTTGTATTGATATACTAACTGTACCGTGCCACGCTTCGCTGTGGCACATTGTGGTTGCATTGGTGAAGAGTAAAGAAGAAAACTGATGCGAATAATATATAAAAAACATTATGAATCGGGTTGTATTTGTGTCAAAATTTAAGCTCAATCAGTAAAGTACTTTTTGTGTTTTTGAAACGTACAAAAACCAACTTAACAGTCTTTTCTTTTCTTTTTACACACGACCAAACTAGGCAGAGCCTGTACTATGGTAACCAGACTGCTGATAAACATACTTATATATTTTTAAATACATACATATTATAGATAAATTACACCCAGACACAGAACGAATGACCGTGCTCATCATACAATATTTGTCCTGGGTGGGAATCGACTTCACGACCGACGGTTTTGCAGTCAGGGTCACTAACCACAAGACCAACAGGCCCGTGGATATATTCATTTTATTTGCTTAAAATACGCTACAATAGGATGGTATACGAAATATAGGTACAGTACAAATTTCACCAGCAATTGCCATGGAAATATAATTTATCGGACTATTAATGTAAATAAAAATTGAATAATAAATACCTACCTACATACAACAAGTTTATGAGGAAATTAAATATATACAATGATTTCTTAATAACATTCGTGATACATATCTACAATTTACACAGCGACTGCCTCGCTGGTGCAGTGGTAGCGTATGTGACTGCTGTTCCCAGGTCTCGGGTTCGATTCCCGGGCTGGACCAAATGTTTGTATGATATGCAATTATTAGTTAATTATACTTATTTATGTATTTACAAAAAAAAAAGGATATAAGTACTCTTTCAGTCAAATTAAATGGCGTTGTTTGTCAGATGTCCGAAATATATATTTATTTCTAATGGAAGAAGTCTGATGCGAGTTTTGTTTAAGGAATTCACTTACAGAATAAATAATAATAACCTGACACATATCACACACGGCCATCTGAGCCCGAACTAGACAGAGCCACCTCATTACACAATTATCTGTCCTGGATGAGAGTCGAAGCCACGACCTCTGGTTTACGAATCAGGAACACTAACCCTTGACCAATTTTCCAGTCAATAGTAAAAACTATACATGTTTATCATCAGTCTGGTTACCATAGTACATGCTCTGCCTAGTTTGGTACCAGACGGTTGCGTTTAAAGTTTCTGAAATTGCATAAATATCTCCCAAATCGTAATTCCTTTGTCCAACAGAAGTGGTTCCAGTACCAGTGCCGGTCCCTGCGCCTGCGCCGCCAAAACCGTCTATAGTCAAGGCGCCCAAACACGCCAAAGTCAACCAGAAGGTATGTTTAAAACTTTCACTTTCCAAAACAGCCTTGGCATCAGCACGTTGGTGAATGGAAGAAATTGTTACATATCTGGATTTTATTGAGGACGCTTATTAAGTAACCGCATTCCATCATCAGATAACTATTCGTGCATTTATCTGCAGTACTTTTGCAATAACTTAAAATAACGTAACAAGTTTATAATAAGTTAGGTTAGTTAAAGCTATAACTCGAGCGGACCGATTTTTATGATGTTTGTTTTTTCAAATGAACCGTCTTTAGAATCGTTTTAATTTGTAACTCGATGAAACGAAAATGCGTCACGATAAAGAAACAAACACATAAATGTATAGGATTAAGTCGCCGAGAGAATGAGATAGAATACAATACACATTTTTTTTTTTTTTAAATACAACTCCCATCATCAACAGCCTTTAATAGTCCACTGCTGGACATAAGCCTCTCCTTAGAAAGGAGGTTTACAATACAACTCCCGCGTTAGGAATATATCCTGTGTCGCGGGGGACTTTACAAACATACATGAAACGGACACAAAGAATACCCAGACTCAGAACAACAATTTGTGGATCACACAAAGTGTCGTCCCATGTGGGGTTTGAACCCACAACACTCGGCGTTGTAGGAAGCGGCGTGGCGACCGCTTAAACCACTACGCCATCCGTGCAGTCATTAATTATTTTGCGGCAATTATTTTTAATATAACATTTTGACAGTGGGAATATTTTTATTTTATGCCAGCTGGTACTCACGACTTCGTTCGCGTGGAATTGCTGCCTTAGTGGTTCGATTAACGGGTTACATTTTATAGGGTTTTTCTGAGATTTTTTTTTATTTTCTGCCGTGTGGGAATTGCACACACACTTTTTTTTTAATAAGCCTCGAAAAGCAGAATAACTATTACAATACTATTTAAATCAGTCGAAATTTCATTTTCTCAAATATTGTGTATGAAACCTAGAACAGATGAGAAGCAGAGCTGTGATTGTGAGCAGGTAGAACTGCGTGGAACTACTAGTAAAAACTATACCTCTACGCGTGCCCGAGATAAAGGGTTTTGACAGACAGACAGACGGACAACAAAGTGATTTTATAAGGGGGGTTAAATTCTTTCGTCTGCTTTTCTCCGAGTGAGGTTTAGTGGTACTGATGGCCTAATTCCCTCCAAGTCTACGGGAGTATTAAAGGGTGGGGTGTGGTAAAACCAACACCTACAACTGTTGAGTTGTAGGTGTCTATTGGCGACGGTGGTCACTTACCATCATACACGCTGAGAAACATGTTTCCATAGCAACTGCGACTATTATATAAAACACAAAAAAAAAACATTCAAATATAATGTTTTTCCTGCTTAGTTTCCCATTTATAATACGAGTGAAACGTATGTAAAATATTTTACATTTTAAAATGGACTCAACAGTCATAGAAACAAAGCGTATATTTACATGGTCGTGTATCATTCTGTCGATTTATAAGCACATTATACATTTTGTAGGGTGACCTTTATTTTACAAAAACGTTGTAAATATTTAAAAAAAAACAGTAAAGCTAATGTATGTGTTTATTCACCTTATAATAAACATCGTAAACAAAGCAAATTTTACGACGTGAGATTGCATTGATTAACGATCCATGCCCAGAAGTAGGAGGCATCTTGTTGCATCTTGAAGACTGAGGACTTGAAGAAACCAGGCATTTTTTTTCCAATATTTCATTGGTAAAAGAGCGGTAAAATGATGATAATGGCTATGTAATTAAAAACTCAAGAAAATGTATAATTTGGTATGTCGTACGCGTGGTACGAACTAATGCTTTACTTGAACTCGTCACAGTTGTCGAGTTTATGCAATTTTTTACAGAATAATTAGCATTTTCGTATATTTAACGTACCTAAGAAGGCATTCGAGCGCGGATTGAGAGTGAAATATCACCGTTATTTCATATCTTATATTGGGGCGCGAAGTGGGTGTAATTGTATCGTCTGTAATACTCACTTGGTCAAATAAATACTATATCTCTGATATAAAAACTTCATCCTTCATCATCAGCAGCCTATCGCAGTCCACTGCTGGACATTGGCATCTCCAATTGCACGCCGCTTAGATCGATTTTGGGCTTAACAAAAAACTTAATAAAAAAATAAAAAACTTCAATGTATATCAAATTATTACTGATGACGCCTAACACGTCACACACCCAGATCTAAACGCCTGATATCACAACTGTATTTTCAACTACATTTAAGCAGTTAAGTCTCTTTTGATGACATAATATATATGATCCAAGAGTTGTTTTTTTCACGTATTACAATGTTGCAGACTTTGACATCAGCGGTGGTAGAACTTAAGCAACGTTATGTCGGTCCTACTAGTGTGTCAGGTGTATAGGTAGATGATTAAACAATAAGATAATATTAAATCGCATAGCTTTAATTCAGGATACGTGTAGTAATTAAATTTTAGCGAAAGGAAACATCCGTTCAAACCACCAAGGTAACTGTTAAACACATAATGAAGTATTAATATGCTTGTTGTTCTAGTTCTGTTTGTCAAGCCACAGATTGAGGTTTCGATTCTTACCCAGGACATGTTCCTAATTGTGTGATAAGCACGATGATTTGTGCTGTGTCTGGGTGTAATTTGGATGTGAAATGTTAAGGTATGTTTATCAGCAGTCTGCTTACCGCAGCGCTGGCATTGCTTTGCAAAAATATCAGTATCTTGAAGATACTGATATTTTTGATATAGATTTTTTGTACTGAACTTTTAAATTGTAAAACTCAAGTGAAACATTTTAAAGGTATAAAAAATAAGTATTCAACACAATACGCAATGACCACCGTCTTTGAAAGCTCGGTTTATGCAAAATACTTAGGCTATTGTTAAAATCGTTTTGAAGAAAGTCGTGATGTATTGAGATGTAATTTTTCTCTGTAGGTTGTTACATGTGTCAGTATGGCTGGCAGTTTTTTTGATGACGTTTTTTTGATCTGAGATGTTGGCCAGGATGGTCAATATATGTCAATATATTCAGGTTTTTTTAACTGTAATTATTTACCATATATAACAACACCCCCCCTATTCATCCCATGGGTGTCGTAAGAGACGACTAAGGGAGCAAACTACGCAGGACAACAGCACTGCAGAGAGAAGGAAAACTTGAAAAACACCCAATACTAAACCGACTAGCCATCGTGGTATAGTAATCGAAAACTGCCTTTCTGAGGAGTGGCCCATGTCTAGCCGTGGACAATTAAATGCTGACGATAATAAAATAATTATTTTCTTAATTTTATTCTGTGAAATTTATTCCACTGCTTAGGGTAAAATTATGGGATGAAGAATACAACTTATTATAGGTTATCACGATTTCGGCTTAGTAAAGTCGATAGTCGATAATACTTTATTTCTAAAAGTTTTTTGCGCATTTCCATACTTAAAAAGTTTTAGGACAGTCTCCAAAAAATCTCGAATCATGGTTACCACGCGCGTTACTGCGGCAAACAGGTTCCAATTGAGCTACGTGTCGTACCTACATATTGTTGTTAGGCTAGTGATGTGCTTTATCGATTCACAATGATGTAATCGATACATTTTTCGCATGTCAATTCAATGTCAAATTCGTATTTATCATTATTTGTTAAGATGACTTCTTTACATGATAATGTTGCTATTAAGCAAAATTATCGTGTAAAGTTCTTGTTTCGAGTTTTTTTTTATGGAATAGGGGGCAAACGAGCAGGCGGGTCACCTGATAGAAAGCGACTACCGCCGCCCACGAACACCTGCAACTCAGGAGTCACAAGCGCGTTGCCAGCCTTTGATTAAGAAGTACGCTCTTTTCTTGAAGGTTTCATATTATATTTTCCTTTGTTAGAGAAAAAATTATCTAAGTACTTATTTTAAGGACAAATGCTAGCGGGAGAAGTTTTATTGAAATTACAAGGTTGTAGAACTGAGATTAAACACTCGTAACTTTTGTATTTGTTTCGTAAAGCAATAGAATATCTGTTTCGTAATTATCTTTATATACGTCGACTTATCTTTTTAGTGTGACTTAACTTACTACTTAAAAAACTGATTTGAGCTAACTACACTAGTAAGCCATTGGACTGCCATCGTACTAGTCAGTCATTTTTTATTATATGAATTTTAATGCTGTAAGGTTAAAAAAATTGAGCCCTCGTGTGAAACATCGAAATTGTTCGGTGCAAATAAACACATAGAAAGACACCCCATCACATGAAACAAGCTCTATCACATAGCGTAGTAACGCGTCGCCACGCCAACAACCGTTATGACCGGAGGGTGGGTTTCACATCATCATCATCAACAGCATTCGAAAGAGGGGTTTAGCCTTCAATACCACGCTTGCCAGACGGGTTTTTAAAGGATCTGTTTCAAGTTTCAAATCAAAATATAAATAATGTAGCGATATATAATATACAATGTAGCGACCTATTTTAAAAATATATGTAACATCTAATATTCATTTTACCTACATTATTACAACTAAATATTTCTATTTCTATTAGATTAATAACTAAATAGAGTGTTCTCTTAAAGGAGACACATATATTTCCAAATAATTATACTTATGTATTTCTAAAAATATACATATTATAGATAAATAACACCCAGACTGATGTGCTCATCACACAATATTTTTAGATGAGAATCAAACCCTCGACTTATGGCTTGTTGAGCCACTGACTACTAGACCAACAGGCCAGTCAGGAGTTACGTAGTTTTTTTTTTTAATTTGTCGACTTGTTGCGACTAATTTCTAAACATCGAAGTCACTTAACACAGTTATGTATGACCAAACTCTGAACTCAATAATAAAAGTAAACCAATTTTTATACTTACCATCACATCAAACAATAAATTGGACATGAATTTATTTAAAAAATAAACATGCAATATTGTGTCGATATCGGTGGAACAACGTAATCGAATCGCGTCAATGTAAACGTGTCTCTACACTAGCAGTCGTTCGGTAATCTTTGGTGCGGACGGACGCGCTGTCGAACGCGCTAAAATCATTTATAG